AGAACATAAACACTCTTAAGTACAACTACACATAACATACTCTACTAATTGAAAACTATTTCAGACTCGTTCCCTTTTTTAAGTACAAAAGGCTGTCTCTAAAAGAGCTTTTTGTGTGATTCACATAAAGAATGAAAGCTAAACAAAATGCTGCCCAAACAAAGGCATATTTGAATATGCTTTCACTGTACAACAGGCAACATAAAAGCTGCCTCAATAGCTTATTGAAGCAAGCCTTCCATGAGGAAACTTTGCTAGCAGTAAATACATGACTTTAATATTAAACTTAAATATTCAAGTATTAACTAGCCAGGTTTTTTAATTTCCTGAAGACACCATTTAAAAAAAAAATAAACAAAAAAAACCTGCTGTAGGTTGTCCTAAAAAACATCCACTATGCAAATTCTCTTCAGACTGGCAGTTTACTCCCCTTTTGAATGGAAAAAAACCCATCATCAATATTCAATCACTTTTTTGTTAGTTTAGATTTTGTTTTGGTTTTAAGTTGCTTAGTTCAGGTCCATGATATCATCAACAAACTAGAGAGAAATTCAATCATGTTTATAATCATATAGTGCCCTGTTTCATCTTCCAGAAACACAGGACAATCATGTCTCCTATGAGCTACTTCAAAATGGTTTAATGCAGCCCATTTATTTTGGGTTTGGGTAAAACTGGCAAGTTATTGGAAGATATGAGAGAATCAAACTTCTTACATCAGTTGCATAGTCCCATAATCTGCTCAAGTTTGCTTCAGGACCAAAAGAAAATTGTTTTAGTCTGACACAAACCTAACTGTGAAGAGTTAAGTCCTGCCTCTGCATTATTCTGTGGATGCTTACAAACTGAAATTCAAGTTGCTGATGCTTCGGTGGTATTTGCAAGCTGTGCGTGCACCCGTGGATTTTGAGGAAAGCTACCACAGTCAGCACTTGTCCATTGCAGAGATCACTGTTAGTATTTTGGGTAGGGCTGTTACCATGTCTCCAGCTGCACATCCAGAGATTTTGGTCAAGACAACATTCTCCAACAACAGACGAGCAGGAAGAGAAAAAGTGTCAAATGTCACTGGACATCAGGTGTCCGCTTCCTGGAATTAACGCCAAGGGAGATTTGGTAAATCCCTTCTCTGAAACACCGCCGAGGAGGCACAGAGTTCTTCCCATGAACAATACTAATGCTGTACTTCTCAGCAAAAGACTTCTCCTGTACAAAGATAAGCGACTTCTTAAGATCTCAGTCCTCCAAGCCCCCTGTTCTGGTAGAACCCACAACTGGCTGTCCTGTTGCCACAGATCAGAGAGGAGATCAAACGCATGGTCTCTCCAACACCCACCAAAAGAGGAGGTCAGCAAAGCAGCTCACAAAGCTGTCCTCAAACCATGTATCTACTTTTCCACTTTGAAAAATATCATTTTCACGAAGTTGATTGAATACTAATTATATTCCTGACCTCAGAATGAAAGAGGAAGGCACTGTCCCTCTGAAAATTTCACAATTGGTTCAGGAGGAAGGGAACACCCATAACATTTATTGATAGCCAAGACCAGTCTGCTTTTGTCATCTTCTCTGACAGCAACCTAAGCACAGAAACACATTTATGTGTTTGATGGTAACTGAAGATGGGAAACACTCTTATCAAGTCGATTGAAAAACTGAAGTAATTTTATTTTCCAGAGTCAAGGCAAAGACAGGCAGTGAAATCTCCATTAATAAAAGGTCTAGACATCTCTGATAAACAGTACGCTCCAGTCTTAAGTAGAAATTTACAGTAAACCAGGACAGTATTAACTGATATACTAAAGAATATAGTTTAAGAAATTAAATTCCTGATGTCACTACTCTCCTCTCAAAAGCTGAATCTGTGAGCAGCAAGTAGTGAAATCTGTTAAGCAGCTAATCAGCTAGAAACTGTTCACCTAGCACTAGTAAAGCACTAATATTAGACAAGAAGCAGGCTGATCAGCTTGTCCTGGACACAAACAAGTCATGTGCTGGAAAGGACAGTGGTATGCAAGTCTCTAGTTCTCACTTTCCCACAATACACAGATTATCCAAAATATGTCATGTAAGCCAGAAAAATAATCTTGATGCATGAATGACATGGAAGCTGTGGAAAAAGCCTGGAGTAACACACAGTGGATGGAAAAATCTGTTGCTACACTAACTACACTAATAATGGCAGCAAGAGAGTGTGCTGGGTTTTGTTTTGGTTTTTTTCTGCTCTTGTAAGACCATGGAATTACGACTTTCAATAAAGAGAACTTGCACGCAGTAACTGACAGGTTAATATTAAATCCACTCCACCACTATGGTCAATTGCTTTCCCCTGGTTACCTGTTCAGCTAATAAAGCAGCATGCAAATTTGGTAGTGTTTCTTTCCTTGCATTAGATCCACCTCACAAAAACCTTACAAAGCAATTTAAAAAGCAGAAAAAGTTTAGAGAGGAAAAAAAAAAATTATGTTTATAAAGTTATATTCACTGCTCAGATTCCTCAAAGCATCATGAAGAGAAAAGAGACAAACAGGGACTGGGGAGGGCTCATGCTTTAAAGGACACACACTGCTTCAGCGTAACAAACATCATCAGTTTTTTCTGGCTATAAAATACAGTTTAAACTGCCTGGAACTTTATCAACACTGTGGGGAGGACAAGTGTAGCTAAACCACTTTATGAAACAGTATGTACACAAACCATTCAAGAAAACAGGGACTACCAGGGGTCTAGGCTGCTGGAGGTTTGACCGTGTGGAATGACATGCAAGTCACTCTTTCATGGTAAAGCTATTGTGAACCAGGTATTTAGGATTTGGGGGAGAGAGAGGGTAGCCACTTGTCACTGTTTGCACAAGGAGTATCAAAGTATCTTTTTCAGCCCTAAAGACAAATGATATTTCAACTGCTACTATTCCACATCACCACCAACTGTTGTCATACCTCAAGTTTTTACTAGCCTGGAAAAATGCACTTACTGCCAGATTCAAACACCCTACACCGAATTGTATATACCTGCAGTAAGGTGGAATCTCAAACTGCCTCACCCAAAGAGCATAAATAAAAGACATTCCACCAAGATACAGCGCTATACAGTGTTAGCGTAGAAGACTGAAAAATACACCCCCTCTTTCAGATCTCCCCATATACTCACTGGAGAAACAAAACAGAAATCCAGACTTTCATTACATAGATTCACAAAGTGAAGACAGATGGCAGTGAAACGCCAGGAACACCAATAGTCCTCTGAGGATAGTAGCAGGATGGTCTGATGAGGGACTTCAGCTCCTCTAACCTCTTCTCAAGTAACTGTTGGATTCTATTCTGAACTCAATTTATTTTATTTTCTTTTATTTTTTACAAAAGAATGGAGGCACACACCTTCAATAAGCAATGGATACTACCCTTGGCTGAGATGACCAAAAGGAGACAATTCCAGCCACCCTAGGGTGTAGGAACATGAAACTGTCCCAACTGAAGGCAACAAGCCTGGAACACCCATTTCTCTGTAGTCAGAGAAACCAAAACAAATAAATAAATAGACTGCTGACCAGTTACTTCATGTCAAACTGATGCAGCAAGTACTGCCTGTCTTCTGGCTAGTTTTTGGGCTGTGGTAGTCTCCACAAGCTTACTGGAGTGTGCAAAAAGCAACTGTGTAGTGAATAAACATCTATTACAGAGCTGTAACAAGATTTACATCTTCTTCTGACTTCAGCAGAAGGGAGTAGGTGCACACAGGCAGTTAAAGATCTTAGAATCGTAGAATCGCCTGGTTGGAAAAGACCTTTGAGATTGATCATCGAGTCCAACTGAATGTATCTTCATCCGGTGGCATGTCAGGCAAGGCCCAAATCCAGGATTTACACATTCATTTCATCTTGCTGATGGAGTTCTCCTGTTTATATCTGTCACAGACACTAAAAAAAAACCAACCCAAAAAACAAACCACAGCCTCCAATTGAAAAACCATCACCACAGAGGACAGAGTCTTTCTGCCTTTGGCTTTGGTTTGTCTTTCTTAGGAACCCATTTTCATCTCAAATGGGTTTCATGAGGTTTACTTGGACTCTGGGTACAGAGTTTTTTACATTTTTAAACTTTTGTTCTGTCACTCCCAATAAGTACTTTAAAAAGAAAATCCTACCCAAGGTTGGAACCACCTGTATCAAAACCCTATTTTCTTTCTGGTTTTATTTCAACAGTAGCTTACCAAGAACAACCAGGAGAACTCTGCCTCGGGAAGAATGAAATTGCACTACCCCTGAACTAGACTAACATCTATCAACCTGCAGCAACTCCTGCAAAGAGACCACGCCTTGAAGCTTAAATGAGGAATCTTTGGGATGAGAAGGTCATAATAATTAACGTGTTTTGCCAGGTTAGATTTGAATATTTGCAGCTGGCTTGCAATACGTAGTTGTTCAATATCAAAAAGAAAGCAGCACCTTTTTTAAAAGCTTCAAATCCAAATTTAAATTACAAAAGTTATCAAATATTGCAGTTATTAATTTTAACACAGAAGTTATTACGACTTCCCTGATCTTTTACTTCCCCATATTCTCCCAGAAGCCCTCATAGAACCAATGCTTACTAGAGTAATCAGAAGAAGGGATGTGGTTAGCCATACGTGAAGTGTCAGGTCTTTCATTTTGTTGACACTTGGGTTCATTGCATTAGCTCACACTAAAGATGTAAAATCTTTGCTCTGAACTCAGAGCGCTCAAGTCTCTGCACTGAACAAGTTAGTGGTCTTTGTTAGCTCATGGCACATACAGAACCCAGAGACACCAAAAATCAATCTTTTATGAGTCTTTTGCAAAGTTGGTATTTACTGGATTCAACTCAGTTAATACTTACCTTTATAAACAAACCAGAACCCACAGATTTAATAAGACCTTGAAATCAGCATTGGGCCACTGGAAGTGCAACACAGTAACAATGATAGTAAATTCCAGTATTAATTCATACATACTTTAATTGCTATTTCAATGATACAATAAATCTATTGAAGCTTTTAAAGGTTTTTTTTTATTATGGTTTTATATAAATATAAATATATAAAACCACCAAAGCACTTAACGAATCATGCTTTCTTGTGTAATACATAAAACTAATTTCATACTGTGCTTCTGAAAGTCTATCGTGCTGTTTTTCAAGTTATTTTACAGATGGCACATTTAAAAAAAAAACCCAACAGAAGCATGGATTTCTAGTGACTGCAATGCAACATGGCATCCCAAACAAGATGTTTCATTACAACTAAATTAAAGTGTGAGTGCATTATGTAATAAACAATAGCAGTTTGGTCATTTTAATCTTAATTCTGTTTACAACAAAACTAACATTTGTGCTTCACAACCTAAAACCCCATGATACAAACATAAGTTCTGTGCTGTAAAAATCCTGACAAATTACTGTCCGAAAAGAAAAACATATAAAACAGGAGATCAAGTTTAAATCTACTCACTTTTCTTGAGAATTGCTATATTTAAGACTAATATGACATACAAGACACAATAAGGCACAATGGGTGGTACAAACAAATGAATACAGTTGTCCATGAAACTTGTTCTCTTCCACAAATACTAAAATATGTACCGCTCAAGATAAATTTTCTCTTAAAAATGAAATACATCATCTTGTTATGAAAGTCCTATACAAAAATTTAAAATTTACACCATCTGAGCTGCCAAAAAAATAAAAAAGTGTATCAATTTTCCACAAAACTATATTTCTCACCAGAACATCCAGCCACTGGGAAAAACATATCCCAGCACTCTGGAAAAGAAAAGCGTTATTTCCCCTGTGTTTAAGACAAAAATATTGTATTCTGCATACAGTAGTGTATTATACTTTAAAAAGCCTAGCACTATTAAAATTACAATATTGATCCGGAAATTATTGGTTTACTGCCTGGATGAAATAAGGCACTTTCTTCCAGTGGGCAGCACTTTTCACATATATGGAGACGATGAATCAGGTTCTGGTTAAAAACAAAAAGGGGCTCAGTGAGGTCCCAGAAGACGACAGGAACATTTCAACAGCAGGGGAAGACACAGGAGGTAAAACCTGGAGATGAAAATCTACACAGAAGTGGTCACTCTGTCAATGGCATTATTGACCTCGTTTTTGTTTGAATCCAGTCCTTTAGCAGCATTCATATCATTCCGTAAATTCTCCACTGTCTTTTTCATGTTCTTTAATTCTCCAGGGTGTGGAGTGGCTCGCCTTAGAAGTGTTCTCTAAAAATAAACAGCGCAATAAGTGGTTTTGCCTTCATCTTTTTGAAAAACAACATACACTTTCAAGGCTTTAGCATTCACATACCAAATATTAGGTATCAATTTTTTCCTTTTTTTTTTTCCCTTTTCCAGCTACAATGCTCTATGTTGAACGTTATTTTCAGAGTTGCTTGTTTATGAAGACAGTGAAAAAGGCTTTAAGAACTGTCTAGGAGCAAAGTTTTTCCTCTCTTGACCTACTAATCTGAAAGCCACTCAAGAGAAGTACAATTACAAGTTATGAAGTGAAGATGCTTTCATAAATATAGTTGGGAATTTTTTTTTCCCCTCAGAAAAACATCCAAGTGATTTAGGATCACATTTCAAACAAAAAACATTCAGCTGGTTTTGAAAGAATCTCTTAAGATCTCTTTACAGCGTAAAATACATGTTTATGTGGTTCTCTGTATGCCTGCCAGCCCCACCATCAGATTGGTTTTCTTGTCAATTGAGAACAAATATCTTGAAAGGAAGAAGAGGGAGCATTCCTCTCCCATCTTAGACACAAGAACATCTAACAACATTGTGCTGAAACCTTTGCAGGGAAAACAAAATTTACAAAAACGTGAACTGAGCAGACTGCAGCAGAACTGATGACCCATAAATGGGTGCATTGGTCAAGACTGCTTTGGAATCTGCCCTTCCTCCTCCCCAGTGGGATCATAAAACTTCTTTTTCCCCTAGAAAGGTTCTTGTTACAAGTCAGGCTGTAATACCATGACTGACAGCGGTTATCATTAACACCTGAGTACTCGTTATTGTATAGACCATCTCGGGTTGGTAGTTGTTCTGTACCATCATTCTGAAGTCCCTCATCAGTCAGCCTACTAACCACGCTTGTCAGAAACATTTAGTTTTGCTGCTCTGGATTAAGCAACCACCTAACTTGAAAATTTAAATGTTTCCCTACTAAGAGTTTTTATAGTCACTTTTAAAAGTAAGACCACAGTTCTAGTGTGCCACAATCCAGACAGTGCCCTGAAGTATCTCAAGCTGAGTTCTAATGAGGACCACCAGCAGGTTTTTAGAGCATCAGAGAAGCACATTGAAAATCTGATTAAGGAAGTCTTAATCTTTACAAAGAATTTTAATTGTTAATGAAAGTTAGTAAAGCAAAAAATCATGTTGCATTTTGATCTTCAGGACATGCAGAGCCCAACTTAATGGAGAGGTCTTATAAGTACAGTGACAGATGTTCCCACATCCTTTGTTTAAGTGGGAAACTAATGAGCAACATTCTTGCTGTTAATGGACACTATGGTTCTTTCAATGCAAATGGTGAAGGAAAAAAAAAAAAGAAGAAATAAAGAGAGAGAGAAAAAGAGAGATTGGAAATAGAAATTAAAGGGACAAACAATGGCAAACTTAATGGAAACACATGTCAGAGCGCTGGAATCCTAAATTGGACCCCTATATGCTTTCAGGCAGTAAAGCTTCACAGATGGAGAGAAACATCCTATCTTGTTTCTGGAAAGAAAACATCCTGCGCAGGCACAAGAAAATAAAGCAAAACAAAGACTGTCCTGCATCAGAAAATAAAAGTTATATTGAAAGCAGAAAAAAAAAAAGCGTCATTTTAAGACAAAATGAAAAGTTTTGGCAGTCAACACGGAACAGTTTCTGCTACAAACGTATGCAAAAAGCATGCAGTCACAGCTGAAATATTTACAGCAAGAGAGCTCAGACACTTTTTACACGTTTGAATTAAAGACACAGTGTCTGCCAGTATCCAAAAGCTTGGAACACATACCATTTCATTATCCTCTTCGTCTTTTTCATCTTCTAAGAAGCGAATTGCACTGACTCTATTCACTGCCCGCTCATTCCATGTTTCATCTGACATTTCATTTACCAAACTTTCCAGTGCACCACATCGTGGTAGGTTATCTGTTAGAAGAGCAAAACGTAACTAAAGATTCACAGCAAGACCAAAACATCAACACGCTATATTGTTAATAACTGCGATATTCAAGCAATCACTCATTCGACTTACAATTGGCTATTTCTATGTTTTTGATAGAAAATATAACTTGCATTAATTTTCTGTTATCAAGTACACACAACAAATAGTTTCTGTATAAATGAGAAATTTCTGTACTTGGACTGTTTCAGGTTTGTTGCAGTTCTAGAGCACTGATTATACAACTTAATATAACTGCCACTATACATGCTTTTCTTCTGGATCATGGCTGCCACCTGACATTGGCCAGTTCCCTAAATGGTGTTCCATAACACAGGATCATTGCTTTTACTGACCTCATCCTTTTAGTATTGCTAGGTATACACATCCAACAATCTTAATTCCAAGCCTTTTACCCTTGAAGCCATGAGATTCATCTGGAGAGGATGAAATCTAACTTCTAGCAGTGAGGCCTTTAGAGAAAGTCAGTCTAACTCAGTTACTCCTGAGCTAGCTTAACCTTCTCAAAATCTAAAGGGGTTAATTCATTTACTCATTTTAACTCTTAATGCAATTTGTATTCTTAAAATCCAGAAGCTGACACAAAACAGAGCCATTTCCACACTTCTATTGCTTTAATGGTTTCTGTTTACTCCAGCTGCATAGTACTGAAAGAGTGAAATTAACCTATGCAAGTTTGGGTACCTACAATACAGATATCTACAGCTGAGCTTTTCTCCTCAGGCCCCCTTTGTACACAGTGGAGAAGAATCCACATTATTTCTTTTAAAAGTCTGTTCTTGGATGAGAGAAATTACTCTCCAGTGATTACAGCACAAGTTTAAATATTAGCTCAAATGAATCCCCTTGAATGTTCACACACTGCTATAAAAGCCTGAGGACAAAAAACATCCAGAAGTTAACGGAGCAGCAACCCAGCCAACAGTGAAAAAAAGTTTATAGTCCCACCTGACCCAGAGGCAAGTTTCAGCACAAAAGGTAAGAATAATTTATACTGTAATTCTACACTTGTTGAAGAATATAATAAAGTTACTGTACAGCATCTTTGCTTGAAAGAAAATTATCTTGCTAAAAAGTAAAATGTCTATGGCTTATTACTAGCTATATATAATAGCTATGCAATTATTTTTCTGGTAAAGAGATTGTAGTTGGAAAGCCACCAATTTTCACTACACATACATTTATTTAAGATGTATAATCAATGTACACAAATATGGACACCATTACTTGGTCCACTGGCAAGTCTCAGAATAATCATATGATTAAATCTTCTTCTTCCAGGTCTATAGTTTATTTATTTATTGTAGCTGGTGTCACTGTATTTTCAATAACACTCACAGCCATGTTTTTCAAGTCCTCTGAAAACTCGTATGATTACAAAAAAACCCCCACAAACAAACAAACAAACAAACAAAAAAAAGGCAACCCCCCCCAAAAAACAGTTTACAAGTGCAAATTCAACCAGAACTTTGCTACTTTACTTATTAGAGCTCATACATGTTTTACAAACCTTTATGGAACAGGAAATACAGTAACGAAAGACATGCTTCTATACATAATGAAAAACTGACTCTAGGCACTTACCTTGGCAACCAGGCTCAGAAGGCATTTGAGGAAGTAATACACATGTTAAAATCTTTTCTCCTGTTTCAGGGTCTGTGTCAGTCTGAAAAGTCAGTAGAGGCTGGGACTGGTTATCAGACAACCACAAAGCCTTCAGCTTTAATGTAGTCAGTGAGAGGGGAAGATACATCAGCCTAGTTCAAAAAAGAAAAGTAAAAAAGTCAGGGCAATCTCTAGGAGGTTTAAGAGAAGGCCATGAAGTATATATCCCCGAGCTGGAATAAACAGGATTGAGATTAATGCCTCTAATAGAAAGCATTGCAGTACTCATTGACTCCAATCACTCCATTCTTTTAGAAAGAATCTGAATCTTAACTTTATACCATAATTCTCTGTAGCTGTGAATAACAGATAAAACAATGCTGAGCTTTTTCTGCTGCAGTAAAATGCCCTGGAAGGCAGACAGCTGCTTCTGCTCTGGAGCCTTATATATAAACAATTTCCAGAACAGAAGTATCTAAGTGCCTACGAGACAGTTATATTGCATAGATGAGATGCCATTTGCTTTTCCTTTTTTTTTTTTTTCCAGCCCCATTTAACCTCCTACTAAGCAACTGACCTAATTTGCTGGTTTATGCTTCAATCCACTCCTTTTTGCATTTTGATGTCTGAAGCATATCAACTAAGATTCATGAGAAGCCAGAAGGTCAAAGTGGCATTAGTTGTTACTTGCACTGTATCTCTAAGATAAGACATTCAGTATTAGTATTACTTAAGGCTGGTAGTTTCAGCTGAAGCTCTACCAAATTGCCTAGATTCTGTTTTAATTCAGAAATATACAAATCCAGAGGTTTTTTTAAAATCCCATCTTTTCCTCAGGGCCAAAGCAATCCAGAAAACGTATTCATGAAAACACACAATTTATGCTACTGTGGGACAAAGGGGAAGACTAGTTTGATGATTTCGACAGTAACACCAACACAAAAATCATAATTGATTTTTTTATTACTTCATTCTTAGACCTAATTTCTTTTGTCATTAGAAAGAACTAAGCAAAACTAGCAAAAAAATGTGACAACACAAAAAACTCTTACCTGTTTCCAGCAACATCCAGCACATGAAGTTCAGTGGCTTGTGAAATTTCAGAGGGAATTCGAGATAATCTGTTGTCACGTACAGAAAAGACGTTAAGACTGCAGCACCCCCCAATCTGTATTAGGGAAAACAAGAGAAAAAAAGGTCTGTTTTTTTTTGCAGTATGATAGTATAAGCAAAAGCATGCAGTACAGTCATGTAGTATGTCATAGCGCATTCAAGTTATGATGCCTGCCAGACACTTCACCCAGGGGTACAGGCTGCAAACAAGTGTTAGCTTAAAAGAAGCCTGACCTGAAGCCAGTCTGTCGGAGCAGTTTCTTGAACATCTGCATCTGCAAATAATGTATAACTTTACAAATAGGTCAGGTTCTACCTACCTCTTAGAGCCTTCCATGTCAGGAAGGTATCAGTAACCACACAGATACCTCTTTGTAGACAATCCTCACAAAAAAAACTAGCTTTTACTTTCAACTTTTTCTAGCTCTATGTTTTACATAGCCTGAAAAAAGTCAACAGATTAATTCCTTCTTTCCTCATGGTAACTTTAGATACAAGCAAGTGCAATGGGGCTTTAGACAAGGCAAAATGCAAAATACACTAATTAACTCCCAATGTTTATTGAGTCTGCAAAGAATAATGAAGAGTTCACAAAAAGTAGAAGACTTTATAAGTAACATCTTTGATGCCCTGTTTTATTAGAAGCATCTAATTTCAAGATGATTCCCATATAAACTGGCCAATTTAATATAAAATCCTCTGTCTCTACTAATTTATCCAAACATAAGCATCTGCATTCCCAAGCTAATTTTTGGGTGCAAAAGATGGGATTTTTCAGTTTTACCCTTACAATATCTATATTTTGCATCAAAGGTACATGTTTTCAAAAAAATAAACCCTCTACATTCGATTAAAAAAACCACATTCCACTTTTTTTTTCAGGATGGCAATTAATACTCCTATAAACACTGAGATTACTAATTTTAGCAACTTGAAAGCTGCTTCAAGTTACTCTTTCTTCCTATTCACAAAGGAAACTTACCTTTGTTTGCTTATCATACTGAGCTTCAAAAAGCACTGCTGTTTGTTTGCCAGTTCCAAAACTTGTCATGAGGAGAGGAAAAAATAAAAAAATCTTTCCTCTCTTACTCCAAGTAAGGAAGGAGGACCTGGGGAACCACAGGCCTGTTAGTCTGACCTCAGTGCTGGGGAAGGTTATGGAACAGATCATCTTGAGTGCAACCACACGTTCAAGACAACCAGGCGATCAGGCCCAGTTAGCATGGGTATATAAAAGGCAGGTCCTGCTCAACTAACCTGATCTCCTTCTACGACAAGGTGGCCTGCTTAGCGGATGAGGGTAAGGCTGTGGATGTTGCCTACCTGGACATTAGTAAAGTCTTTGACACCGTTTCCCACAGCATTCTCCTGCAGAAGCTTGCTGTTCATGGCGTGGATATGAGTGTACTCTTCACTGGGTGGAAAACTG